GAAACATTTTTCTCAAGGTATTTGTCCTTGTAAACCATGCTTTAAAGTTTCAAAAGACCTGCATGTTCTTGGATTCTTTAGTACTCACACCCAAAAGTATACAATCCAGAAGACAGATAAGGCAGATGATTGATGGAATGTCACTTTGAATTTTGATGACATACTAGTTCCTGTTCTTGTAAGGACAGGAGGTTCTTCATTTGTTTTGTGACCCTGTTATTATTAGGCAGGTTTGGATTTTTTTAAATGTTCAGAAAAAGTGTTGGAAAGAGGGTTTTAAATTTGGAAGGAAAGTGATTTTGTGGCTGACAAACACGTTTCACAAGCGTGGGAGAAAGATAACTTAGAATTCTCTTCGTCGTCTTGTACTATGTTCATGTAGACTACATAACATAGGATAGCTTATCGCACATGATCCATCCACTGGAAGCTTTGGTTCAAGTGTTAACATGCACCTTACTTCCTCTTCTAAGCCTTCCTACTTTTGTACGGTGAAGTTTCATTTATGCACTTCTGTAGCATAGCTACCTAAGATTGGGTGTTGGAGATGTGTTTACTGCCTGCTTTTGGTGCGTAATGAAGACTGTTTCTGTTTGTTTTTCTGGGAAAATTTTCTCCTCCCTCTAGGAAGAAAGAATACTTTCAGTTGAATGCTTTAGATAACAAATTGTGAGGGACTGAGATAAGACTTTTCTTACTGAAGCTAATAGTTTCAAAAGTCAGTCTCAGAGTTCCTTCCATTGGGCGAGTAAACCTTGATACATCTGCTTTTTTCACATGGTATCAAGAAGTCTAACAAAAGATGCTACTTCTGCTTCAAAACATTGCTATTCATTTATACCTTAGCTTGCTTGTAATAGTCCAAAATTCATTTAGATGAGATAAGTGAAGTAAATTAGTCTTCTACTTCACAAGATCAAAAGTTACCAGTGGCAGAAAAGGAACAGAATCAGTCTCTTAAAGCTCTTTTCTCCTGTAGCCTGGCAATTCTGCCAGTGGGTGCTTCAGTTTAGGAGAGAGGTTCTTGGCCATGTTTAATAACCTGAGCAAAGCTGGCAGTGAAAGCACCTGTCGCTGATCTGCATTGGGCCAGCACAAATCAAATTTCACCAGGTGAATAGGAAAATGACTAAAGGGTGCTGAAGGAGGCTACTAATGATTTAATGGGGGGCAGCTAATTTGCATTGCCAGGCCATTGGCTCATTAGAAATGCAGAAATTGTATCTGGGGTCTGAGGAAGAAAAGCGAGAACTGAGAAGGCTGACTTGCTGTCCTGCGTGTTTTTTTTGTTAGGTCTTACAATATCTTTTTTTTTTAGGTCTTACAAATCAGTATAAAATCAGAGGTGGTAAAGACTGTCATTTAGGATCTCTGTAGTTTTTAGGAACATGATATACATAATAGCGTACGTTATGTGCAGTTTATCACTTACAGGATAATCTTCTTAGTGTAAGTAAAGAGGATATTTAAAATACTGAATTTCTGTTTCCTGCTGGTTTTCTACTTTGAATTGTGAGTACACCTGGCATCTGTTCTTCAGCTGTGCTGTGTGAACAATGAATTATATTTTGTAGAAAGTGCTTGTCACTGTGAAATTTAGATGGTCCCTACCTGAACTAATGTAAGGATAAACAACAGGGGAGTTTGGCCTCCAGGAACTGGGAGGAATGCTCTTTGTGTTCTCGTGTTTCTCAAAGCTGCATGTTCCTAATGATTTCCTAGGTAAACATAGACATTAGCAATTTCTTCCCTGATTCCTGTATCCTTGTTAGTGCCAAGCATCAGGAGGAAACGGGGTTTAACTCATTATACCTGCCCTCAAGTTACGTTTGGTAGGATGGGGTTTTCTCTACAGTAAGATTTTTATCACCTTTTACCACCCTCAGTTGTGTAACTGTGTGTTGGACTGCGTTATGAACTGACAGAGATCCCAACATAGCCCAGAAGAATATTTTGTAGAGGGGAAGGGTAGGGAGGGAGCAGCTCACATGGCACAAATTCTTTAGGTCAGTACTGCCCAGAAGACCTTTTGCCTTGGTGAACCGTAGGCTCAGGGCTATCAAATAAAACTGCTCATTCTGTTGGCTGTACAACAGTGACTGAAGGATAGACCAGTCACTTCATAGCAGCTTCCTCGTTGAAAGTCAGAAAAGATACATCACTTTTTTTAAAAGAGGAATTAATAATTGGTTCTAAATCAGTTAACATTTCTTTATCACTGACACTTTAAAATCTTAATTTGAAATACTTTATTCGTACCTTATTGACTCTTTTTAGTTGCCTGCAGCTTTTATCTGTTCTTAGATGGAAACAAGTGTATGTTTAAATGTGAAAACACTGATATTTCATTCTTTATGGGTGAACAAATCAAAATGTTATTTAAATGGTATTTATTTAAAGACAGCCTAGGAATGAGTTTTAAGTTGCATTGACCTCTCTTTTCATTTGGAATGTACTAGTACCCAGAAGACTTCCTTTTATAAGAAAAATGTATGGCTTTATCTGGGGAAAATAAATGAAGATTCTTACATTTGCTGGAACATTTTTTTTGGAATGGTGGCATTTAAGAATGCACATTATGCTCTCTTTACAATTAAATTGTAGGGTTGAGGAGTTGGATGTCTTTTCTTTTTTCTTCCGCAGTGGCAGTTAGTCATTACCACTTTGTAAGTATTAGCAAAAGCAAGTTTAAAGCTGGCTAAATTTGTCTTCCATTTGTATTTGTTGGCTTCCGATGCCTTGTCTGTTAATTTAACTAGTTCATTAACCATGGCTCGCATTCTTAAGCTAGACCAGATGCTTTTTTATCTTTAAATTGTGGGTGGAAAATGAAGGCTTGAAAGAAATTTTTCATAAATACACAAAAGACTTCTCTTTAATCTCGCCTGTTATGTGAAAGCAAGTGCTGCAGAACTTAGTCGAGAATTACAGGTTATTTATTTGGCAAGATATTTTGCATGCCTTCTTTGTTGCACTTCGACTCTGATGTGTATATTTTAAACATTGTTATTGTTTCTGGGTTCTTTCCATTTTAAACTTCCTCTTCATAAAAACACTAACTAGTGTTTTGCATGTCAAAGTGTGTGACGAGCAGAAGACCTGTCTTGGGATGATGCTTCTCTCTGCTTGTTTCAGTGCTCCCTCTTGTGTTGGGCTGGCTGCCTTCTGCTTATGCTGCCCTTTTGGCTGTCATCAAGGCATGAAGCATCTAGTTGTTTCTTCTGAGTCATCCTCAAGTAGCAGTCCACCAATCTATGAAATTTACTGTCCTGCCTCTGGATATGGTGCTCCTTTTGGCTATATGAGTAAACTGTTCTAAGAGTGTCTGCTTCTCTTAAGTGGGTATTTCACATTGTCTTCCTTTGTAACTAGTTAAGGAATATAGACAGCCTCCTCTGGGCTCCAGTTTGGGGAGCTGGCATCAAAAGTAGCTAAGGTTTGGTTCAGCCGGGTT